AATTAATTATAAATAATATATTATAAAAATTAATATTATAATTAAAAAAATTATTAAGTGTAATGATATAAATATAATTTATTATAAATTATAGTAATATTTATGTATAAATTGAATATATATAATATTTATTTAATTATATATATATTTATAATATTTTATATTACGAAATATTATTAAAATATAATAATTATAACATATTAATATATAAAATATTTACTATCATATATTATAATATTAAATTATAATTTTATATTAATATATGTTTATAAATATATATATAATTAAAATTAAATTACTATTATTATGTTTTGTATATGTATATATAATAAATTAATACATTTAAAGTATAATGTTAATTAATTTTGTTATCAATTTTTTTAATATATATAAAAATATTATATATATAATTAATTTGATCTTTTTAGTGGATTGATCTAAAAATTTTAAAATTTTAAAATTAAAAATTAATTAAAAATAATTAAATTAAATATTTTAAATTGATTAATTTAATGAACTCATTAAATTAAATCATTGTATTCAAATTATATTTAGTTTGAATAAATAATTAATTTGATTTGATTTCACTTCTCTTACCGAGAGACTTCCTCGGGATACTGATTGTCTAAAGCCATGTCCCCACCCCTCCTTTTTAATCGAGTTACGTGTTTTTTTCACTCTCGCTCAAATGGGTTAAATTTCCAAACCCTTGCAATGATAGCAGCCATAACATCGAGATTCCACGGACTAAACTGCAAACCCACGGCCAAATCATTCATTTTCTTCCCACGGCCATAATTCTGATAAAGTAAAAATTTGGTCAGCAGGATCAGGTATAAGACGTTGTCATGGGTTTTTGTTCTTTTCGATTACGGTTTCAGTAGTCGTATCGTTTTCGTGCAAGAATTGACATCCATTTCCTTTTTTTATTTAATGTATTAATTGTAATATAAATTTAACAATTACTTTATAAACATTAGGTAACGTTGTCCTTCTCTTTAATATAAACACGGGTTTTATCATATGATCAATTCTAGAAAGAATTGCATAATGGGTTAATCATGATTAAGATAATTATATTTAATAGATGCTAAAAAAAGCAATCTACTAAAAGTACCCGCATATTCATAGCAGTATGTTATCTTTGATTATTTTTTTAAAAGTTAAAACCAAAATGCTAAACGCATTCTAAGATTATTATTAATAATTAATTATTCCCTAATATTGAAGCCAACACCATATGATAATGCTAGCTGCCTAGCTCAATAAGCCAACCCCATCAAGAGGAGCATCAATGGTGGGTGGGGCATCCCCTATTCCAAATTCTTTACAAGATAAACAAAAGATAATTTAGACCATTATATAAAATGAAAATATAAAGGGCCGACAAAACATTATCTCTTATTATGTAAATCAAATTTATTATTCGTTCCGGTCTAACTCTATTATATTATTTTATTTACATTTTTTATTTTATTTTAATTTTAAAAAACATTTTAAGTACTAATATAAAATACTAATTTATTATTTTAATAGTTAAAATAGATAAGTCGGGCTGGGCTTCAAGTTTAGTTTAAAAAATGGAAAGTCCGACCCGACCCATGAACCTTTTAACTAAGGACTAAAAGGAAGAAAAGGGTCTAAATCAATAGTCAATACGAATTAGAAAGTCCGTGAAAGTCCGATTTTATTAATCGATTTAATTTTGGATTTTTAAGAAAAAAAAAAAGAACTAATGTTCGCCTGATAGAAAATCACGGGTCCTCATTCTTCAACTCTGACTACATTAAAACACGGTCCATGATTCGACATTCTTCAAGCCCCAGCAGAGCCCATCTTTCTAGAAGGCCTTGATAGACCCAAGCTGGATCTTGGTGTATGTTTCATACAATCGGATAATCAAGATGGGCTGAGTTAGGACCTAAAATATCATGCCCAAATCTAAATGCATAGCCCGGCACTTCATCACCTCTACATATAACCCAAGGGAGCAGTTTTAGGCTTTGTTCCTAGGGCCCTAGCCCTTACATGATCCAAACGAGTTGAAGAGGATACATGCCAAATTTGCACCCTTTGGGAGCTGTGGTCACGCAAATTGGCCTCACCACCAAAGCCAGCTAGCACGCTCCGGTTCATATCACACCTCTCTACGGGCACGGCACAATGCTACTGCCACTACACACTGCTTCTTCACGTATATACATATGCATATGCCCCTTTGGACGAGTGCCAACGCTGCTATCTTTAAGCTACATTCTTTTGCATGAGCTTTTAAATTAACTGCATCGTCCATTCGCGCTCTAAGCTTTCCTTTTTTGAGCACTTTATTACTGTCTTTTATGTGTCAGGTTGGGTTAATTTGTAGTGGAGTCATGGAAAGACGTACTGCGGTTTTATGGGGACTCGTTTGTTTGTCTTTGTGGTTTTTTAGTTATGTGGTTGAAGCTAAGAGAGAAGGAAGGTTTTTGAGTGATGTGAATCGTGGGATGAACAAGGGGCTCGGACACAGGCATGGCGACGACTTTGGCTATCCAGTGACTGATATAGTGGTTATGGTGGTGGTTCTGGTGGTGGTTTTGGCAGTAGGGGAGGCCCTGGTGGTGGTTTTGGCAGTGGGGGAGGAATAGGCAATGGCGGTGGTGGTGGTTATGGATCTGGTGGTGGCTTGGGTGGTGGCTCGGGTCAGGGCGGTGGCTATGGTTCAGGTGGTGGGTTTGGGGGCGGAGGTGGAGGCGGAGGCGGAGGCGGGTACGGTTCTGGCAATGAAGGGGGTGATGGTGGTGGTTTCGGGGTTGGTGGAGGTTGGCCAGGCAATGGTGGGGGAACTGGGTATGGTGGAGGAAATGGTCGTGGAGGATACGGTCATGGGAAGGACCATCTCCAGAAATAGCACCAATGATGTTTATTTATGAAGAGAATAAGGATGAGATTTCTCCAATTTATAGTGCTCTCAAGTCTCCATTTCCTGAGTTGTTTTTCCATCAAATGTGTAATGTTAGCTGCATCCTATGACAAATAAGTTTTATTGGCTCTACATCTACAAAATTACTTCCTAACTAAATATGATCAATGACAACCTAAACGGTAGGAGCCGACTTTTCCCTTCGGCCGAATGAACAACTTTGATAGCATAATTTCACAAATATATATATGCCAAAAGCAAAAATCTCTGCAAAATGTAGCAAATGCTAAGGCAACCGGTTCCATCACTTTCATAATTCACACTTCGATCTTCATTTCAAAGTAAACTAGATTCTAAGATCCCGAAGCTATGCCGAAGCCAACTATAAGCAATTCTTATTTATTAAGGTTAGGTCGCTGATTATTTTCTAGCTAGGCCTGAGCCAGACGACAACCGCGACGCCAAGATAGTTGCGACGCTATAAAAGTTTGTAGACCATACTTTGCGTGGTTCGAAATGGTTACCTTTACAACTACGAAATGCCAAGACATGGTTAGCCCTACGCTAGTTCTACTAGGTTACGTTCCATCCAATCATGCTAACAATTCAACTCTGCTCTTTCGTAAAATTGCCCAGATTCATTCAAAGTCCTATTCTAGCTTTGTTAGTCACATGGATAGGGGTGACGGTATTTCCGCTGCCAAATCCTGCTCTTCATCTATCATTCTTATTCTTGAATTCTTCACCATCAAGCTCATCATTTACTTCAGTTTTGTCCTTAAAATAACAACAAAATGATCTCAAGAATACTTGAATAGTGCCAAAGTACAAGTCAGAGCTTGTCCCTTCAGCAACCCCACGGCCTGCTTTGTGACATTAGAAACGTGGCTCACGTTCAACAATAAAATACTTTGAAGTAAAAACTATGCACTGCCTAATACTACTACAATATTCCAATCAACATCAAGCATAATACTCTCGAAACGATTACTCAAATCCACAGAAACCGACTGCTCACCTCCACAATTTAAAACTGCAAGAGAAATAATATCATGTTTTAAATGTCTTCCATGCCAAGGATAATCATAAATAGGGGCAACTCTAGAATGGACTTTCTTTCACGTCACCTCAAGTTCCCAGCAGCCCTTGTTGTAAATTTTAGAGCCAAAGAATAAAAGTTTGCTTGTACCACAAACAGAAAAACAAGTCAAAGATTGAAAAGTATGTCAGCCACAGAAAAGAGGCAGCATTAAACCAGGAACAATTAGGTAAATGCATACATTAATATTTTACTTGAGTAGTCACAACCAGCCATCCATTGAGCTGTTAGAAACATGGATGCTTCACATATTATGTACATGCATGCTATACAATAATTAACAGTTGCTATTTTAGCCACACAACATCATTTACGAACTGGACAGTAGATAAACAGCACGATAGATTACTTCAATCCAGGCACATATCTATACTTGGTGGTGAAAGTAGTCTTGTTTCTGACCAAGCAAAACCCAGGAGAATGGCCCCTGTGGTTGGGGGGATGAAGTCAGGGCAATGCTAATCAGTCTTTGGCCTGAAATTTCATAATAAATAAAGTTATATATAATCTATTTTCTGTGACCAAAAGCAACGGTCTGATAAAATAAGTAATCAGACAGTTCAGTCCTAGATGCTACACAGATCAGCAAAGAACCCAAGATCGTGCAGCTTTTTACTTTTCAATCAGTATATACCCTCTAGAGAATCGCTTGAGGTAATCATCTTAAAGGATGCAATAACAATTATTAAGCTAAATATTGGATAGAAATGGGCTTCAGCTTCACATTCTTGGAGGCTTGGGATAATAACTGACACAGCTAGAATAGAATCATCAATGATCTGAACTTTCCAAAATCATAGAACTGGAACGGCTACTTAAATTCACTCAAATAATTAAGAAACAGCATCATTTTCAACATGATTGCTGCTCCAAAAGACGAATCAGGTTGTTTCCATGAATGACAGAAGCTGACAAATAGAAGCACTTGCCCTTGCAGCAAGTACCTAGGTCCAGAAGAATGGGAATGTTTACATGTTATCACACCTCTCATAGATGCCTAGAAAGTTGCTATTAAATTCCAGGAGTACCAAAGACCTCGGTTCAAATTCTGACATTATCAAAATATATATAATGTCATCACTCTTTACTCTGTTTTTAAGACCAGCCAAAATCTTCTGTTGTTAGATTTCAGGTGCTTTTCCTTCAACATTTTAAAGAATTATATAAAAGAAATGTTAAGCTGCTAGATGGAATTTGTTAAGTATTTAGCATTTTGGAGGAGAATTCTGCTGAAAAGAATCCTTAAAATGTATTAGCATGGTAAAATAATGGCTTGAAAGTGTATCCACCACATAAATTAGTAGGCAGTCCAATTTTGATCCTTTTCCTTCTTCAGAGCTCAGTGTTATACATATTTTAGATTTATGGCTATAAATATCAAGACATTTAGAATACATGCATACATTTTGCATGTTTTTCTGATAAAATGGTTTTTCCATTGAACCTATTATAACATATTCTATCCCACATAAGCTAGATAAGGAGTAGAGGAAATGAAAATAATACCTGCTTCTCAGTGCTTGTGCTCTCAGTTATGTCACCTCCTCCTGTAGCAAACTTCAATACTTCATTCCTGCGGTACATATGTAATGGCTCAAAATTTTTGGTGTGATAAACAATGATATCAGCACAGAAGAAAAATTTAACATTGCCAACAGCAAACCACCTTTCTTGAGTAAAATTGGTCTGCTGATCTGGAAATGAACTTATATCGGGTGCTATGCCACCAGGAACCGCTGGCTCCGCAGATTCAAATTTATGCTTTCCCTGTACATAGATTTGTGTAAAAATAAAATATGCCAAACATTCTCTGTAATAGTAGTCGCTAAAGAAATCAAACACAGTCACTGCCTGAAAGGCATGGAGCTTACATCAGAATTGTCTTCCATCCATCCTGGAACTCTGTCTGAAAGAAGGGCAACATACTGCTCCATAGCCACCTCCGGATTCATGTTCCCCAGCCTTTGCCAAGCATTCCTTGCACAATGCAAGCAGTGCTGTCCATCACTCATACATAGCAGCTGTCAACCCTGTTATTATAACTACCAATCAAGCTATACCGTGTAATTTGGTATAGGCTAGCCCCCAATGTGTTTCACACTCAGCTTTTTTCTAAGTTCGACAAAATTTCCCAGTTATAGCAGTCAATCCAAATTTGACCACCATAGAAAATCTAATTAATGTGTGTCATTCTACATTGACTTAAGTGTGTTTCAGATGGCTCTAATTATATGAGGCATTATCTATAACAAGAACAAAAAACAGGACAATGCATTATCTCAAATTTGTCAACTTAAACCCCTTCTACTGGTTAATTATAACAATGGCAAACAAAATGACCAATAACATAGGTGCATTTCCCATCCTTCTTATTTAACCATCCCATTAATAAAGTTCTCTCAAAATTTACCACAATTTCAATTTCCAGTTTATAACTTCATTGTGAAGTTGCTTTCCAAATTGTTTAAACTTAATATGCTCCTTGGTTGTTTTGACAAATGATTGAAATTTTAGTGCATCAAAGACAATACGTTTCTCTCAAGTACTACAAAACTTTGATTTCTTTACTCTAATGGCCTATTGCTCTTTTTCCTCCACAATGACACAAACCTGAGAGAGATTTAAACAATACGTTTCTCTCAAGTCTAACCATCCACATTTCACACCAACCAAAAAGATAAAGCAAAAAGAAGAAGAAGAATCAATTAATAAACATAGATACAGGAAAGTTTGGTACCATTTGGAGCGAGCAGAGACCATGAAAGCCATTGGCTGAGACTCGCGACAAGGCCCTTCAGTAGCAATCTTGTGGAGTCCGTACAGTTCCATCTGATCATCAGTCCCCACACCTGCCAAATCTCCTTTATGCTCAACAAACTTGGCAGCAGCTCCAAAAACCTTCTCCAATTCACTCCTCTCTATCCCCTCCCAATCATCATCATCATCATCTAGTTTCACCTCCTTTTCCTCTTCCCCAAGTCCTTTCATTTGACTCTCTTCAACGTTAATCTCTTCAGATTGCACTTTGGTTTCATTGTCAGCCTTTAATTCTTTACCGATTTCCTCGACTTCTTTTTTCTCCATCTTTTGTTCAACAACAATATCATGAAGATTCACCTCAGCTTCTGTTTCACCGACATTAGCTTTTTCTGCTTCAAAATCATCGACCTTGTTGACAGTTTCTTGCAGAAGCTCAACTTCCTTATCACTTTCAAAGCCCTGAACTTTCAATCTTTCCACAGCCTCAGCTTTAAATTCATCAACCTCGCCAGCAGTCTCTTGGACACATTCAACTGTCTTTTCACTTTCAAAACCCTGATCAACTCCAACTTCTTCTGCTGCAAAAACATCAACCTTATCAGCACTTTCCTTAGCAAATTCGACTTTCTTTTCACTTTCCAAGCCCTGAACTTTCAATTTCTCTGCAAACTCCAACTCTTCCATGATAATATCATCATCAACGTCAATCATAGATTTCTCCTCTACCCCAGAAACAGAATCACCACCACCCATAGCCAAAGAAACAATCTTAGCTATCAAGAAAGAACAAATAAGAGCAATAAAAGCTGTCAGAAAGAGCTCCAGGATAATCTCCATGATTAGAACTCTCAAAATCAAAGATTAAACCAGAAAGAACGATGAAATTAGCCAGAAGTAAAAGTTGTTTAACGATGAATTATATAGGTACTCTCTTTTTCTGCAAAAATTGGTAAAAAATAAATATAAAGAAAAAGAGAGAAGGCTGAGAGGGAAAGGATATTTGCAGGGCAGAGCAAAGCATATTCGGCTTTTTAAGCTTTGAGGGTGGGAATGGGATTGGGATCACTTTTCCAAAATTTGTGGGACCCTTGTTGGCTGGCAACATTAGTTGAAGTCACGGAGGTTTTTGTTTACAAAAAAGCGCTTCAACCTCCCAAGTGAAGCTGACGTGGCGACCGTTTACGTTATCCTCGGCGTAGCTAAGTGTCACCCTGATTATACTTCCTTGTCCCAGTTTTCCCCCATTCGCAGAAAGCGGCGCGTGTGTTAACTGGTTTGGCTACAATGATTTCGAGTTTCTTGTCTTCCTCATTTTTCTCATTTTCCTTACTTGGTGTTCAACTTTATGTTTTCCCCCGAGGTGTAAGACCGACAGATGTTGCTGTGTTCTGTAAGCAGCGTGATTTGCGTCGACAAGGTCTCAACTTGGTTCTGTTCTTTTATCTTTTCTTTTTCCTTTTTTTTTTCTTTTGGGTTCTTTTACATCCCATAAAACGTTTAATTCATTACTTTTAAAATAAAAATATAAACCACTTTTAAAATGCTTTTTTACTATTATTTTAAGATAATAAAAAAGAAAATTTTAGTAAGAATTTAACATTTTGATAATTAAATACAATTAGTTATATTTTACAATGGAGAAGTTGAAAAAGGAAAACTTTTATATATATAAGTATATATATATGTTATAGATGGAAAGAATTACAAGCTAGGCTGTTAGGTTTATGAAGCTTATATGTATAATGTGAGTAATTTACGAGGTGATTTTGTTTTTGGTTAAAGATAATAGAGTCATCTTGACCAAAAAAAAGAGATTAAAGCAGGTGTCAATAGTAGACTGGTTCAAATTAGTCAAGCTATGGAACAAATGATGGTTAGTATTAACTTTACATGGACCCAATCGAGCCCTTTTCCAAGCAGAAGCAGCCGTGTAATTGCATAATGATCAATACCAACCCCTTTTATTTCTTTTTCCAAGTTTGTGAAGCATTTGCATTCGAGTGCTTATCTTTATTCTGTGACGTGCATTAACGTGAAGGTAGGAAATTAAAAAGAAAAGAAAAGGAATGGGGGGGCATATCTCTTCAATGATGATGATGATGGTATAGGTGCCTAAGCAGGAATGTGGGGATGCCAAGAGATTTATTCAGCATTTGAGGTATTGGGAATTTGAATTTCCTGTTTGACAAATATCAGCTTATCTTGCCTTTGCCCTTTTGATTTTGGACATGGATAATGTCAAATGCCTAGTCGTTTGCCTTTTTATCTTTATCAGTAATCAGTTTCTTTTACTTCTCTCCCTCTCTTTCTTCCTTTTGGATAAAATAAAACATATTAAACTTGGAGTTTAAGTTGTGTAGTCTTCTACTCATAGAAGACCAGAAACATTTAATTGAATCTGGCATGGTTCTTATAATATTTATTTTCAAAATGGGTTATCCATGTACAAGTTTGCAACCATGGTCATTGCTTGAAGTAACTAAAAATTGCAGCCTCCATTATTGAAAGAAAATCTTTGGAATTAATTTATTGAAAAAGGATTTGACAAATATAATTAGTTTAAGGGAAGAACAGAGGGGGGAGACTGACTTTGTCTTTGTTTTCTTCTTTTTTTGTTTTGAGTCTTTGACCAGTGATTCCATGGATCGATGCTTAGATGTAGATGGGCTTGCAATGTATCTCATGGCAGCCTATGGCCTATGGGCTATAGCAGGTTCGAGTGCGCCTTTAAATTTTCCTGCTAGAAGTTAAGGTGCCCCATTAATAAGGCCAACTGAGTTGTCCTTGTCTTCCAGGCCTCGCCTATGGCTATGAAAGCACTGAAATACCTGGTTTTTCTCATGTAACAAAGCATAAATAAATTTAAAGCAAACAGAAGACAGATAATTCATGACTGGTCTTCGCAGTGTTGGATGAACTGCTGGATCGAATTATTTGTACGAGCTATGATGGCAGGCAAGAAGTTCAAGGAAGGCAGCTACATAATCAAGGGATAAAAAGTTGCCATATATAGAATACTGAAAACCATGAATCCGCAATATGGAAATCTCCAAGTCAATATATATCAACGCGTCCTGGAATATAACAATGTTAAAGGTCATGGTCAAACGAGCTCTGCTTTCATTGTGTACATAGGTGTAACATTATTTACTAAATCTAAAAGTTGATGATGTGTGCTAAAATATTCACTGTTTATAAGGAAGTTAATCAGTGCATAGTGACACTGGTTAAGGTGATTATTAAGAAAAAAAAATTATAATAAACGTATTGTTCTTTCCTGAATTTAGTGTTCATAGACACCCTTTAAGCAGATCTCTGTATATATTATAATAACTCATATGATTATTACAAGGTTTTTTACTTTAAAAAATAAAAACGCATACAATTCACATAGGTTAAGTTAATGAGAATCTGAAGAAGTTACTTTCCAGTGAAAAAGAAGTTGGTATGAAATAAAGGGTAGTCTCTAATTTTGTGAAATATCCCCCTTGACTAAAGGAATACATGTATAAATGCATCTGCAACTCCCAACCGGGAAGTGGGAAGCTCGTAAGGCTACCCTGCGCAAATTTAATAGCTGCAATCTGCGAACTGATATCCATCAACAACGTAGGGCAATGGAAACATGTCAAAGGCAAAGAAGCTGGAAGCATTGATTGTTGTAGCTCCAGAAAGGAGTGTCGGTTTAGGGGTTTAGGGTCCACCACTTTGTGTGCTGATTTATGGAGGTGACTATAGGTGACCTCTCCAACCACCACAAATATTATTATAGTGAGCTCCAGCTGGACGTCTGAGCACTGGGGCTTACGCTGAATATCCCTCCATATCTAAACGAAGCACCTTGCTTATTTCAATTTGCCAATCCATTAACCAGGTGCCCTTTTGACTAACATGGTGTTTTGCGTTATCTCTAGAATTTCTAGATGAGGGCCTCACTGCCGACCAGTGAGCTCATCTCATCTCCCGTATCTTTATCTTAAATGTGGACTGTTTGTACCTAATTTTAGCATCACCATACTTGCTTGGTTTTGCTCTTTTCTTTTGGCTTTAATGTTTTAAGTTTGGGTCCTGAATTTTTAATCTAATATTTTAATTCCTGGTGGTAGTGGCGGAATTGAACAAGTTTGAAATCTATATAAGATATGGTCTAGCTAGCAAGCAATTTGCGTCGTGTGGGAACGGAATATACGACCTCCAGAAGAAGTTTATTGGGAAGCCGAATTCAGGACATTTATTCCACAATAAAGAAAAAGAAAATATTTAGGAATGTGACGTTTCCAAACCTGTGTTCAGCAACACAGTGGACTTGGCTATATAAGCCCTTCACTCTCGATCTCTCGTGGAAGTTGCAAACAAAAGAGGTTCTTCCCTTCTTTTCTAGGGAAACTTCTTTGTTACCCATTGAGGGCCGAGAGGTCAACAAGTAGCAGCAGAAATGGGAGGAGGCAATGGCCAGAAGTCAAGGATGGCTCGAGAGAAACACATGGAGAAGAACAAACCCGCTAAGGGTGAACAACGTTTCTTAGTCCTTATCCTCGTTAATACTTAAATAGATCTTCTTTTGGTAGTTTTCGTTTTACTTCTACGCCTTGAAATATCAGTCTCAAACTCTGACTCGGGCATCTTTTATGTGATATAGGCAGTCAGCTGGAATCAAACAAGAAAGCCATGACGATCCAGGTAATTAAATCGTGAATGAATGTTCTAGGCTTTTTTCCTTTGCTTAAGTTTCCTAGTTCTGAAAGATTCATGTGGCTGTGGCCCGTGGGAATTTACCTGGATCATTCTTCAATCGTGGTAAGTGAGAGGTTACTGATTGATGGAGAGTGGTGGTTGCAGTGCAAGGTTTGCATGCAGACATTCATATGCACCACGTCAGAGGTGAAGTGCAGGGAACATGCTGAAGCAAAGCACCCAAAATCTGACGTCTATGCTTGTTTCCCTCACCTTAAGAAATGAATGAAATATATCCAATAACAAATATAGAACTTGCAGATTGGATTTGAGGTTTCCATCTCTTGTATCTTATTGTCAATTAAATTTGATGCTTCTGTTAAAATCCTTGCCAGGAGACGGGATATCAACACAATCTGAAATTGTTCTTGCTATATTATGGTTACCGTCTTGCTTTCATGTTGCCCAAACCTTAAACCATTTATTCTAACAGTGAATGTTTTCCCCTTATCAAAATCAGTCACCTGCTTGAAGAGAACCCCGTTTTCCCTTCTAAAGATCGTTTAGAAAAATCTATGCTTAACATTATCTTACATCTGCAATGAGTATTCCCTTGAAAGACACTTTGACTATTACCAATGGAAACCATCAAGGGGATTATAATAAACGAAGTAACCATGCATGAGATTGACTAGACGCATTGAGGGTTTGTGAGAACTGCACAATTGCGTTGTTGGGTACGGCTTATTTCCTTTTTAGACAAGTCTAAGGCTCAAGACAGGAGAGTGAACACTTTAGGCCTTAAGTTGTACTTTGAAACGAAACAACCAGACATTCTAGGTATGCATCAAAAGCTAATGCAAATCACTCGCTGAAGCAAACGAAACACGGGTGAGATGAGGGGTGGGTAAGATTTTGGATGAAGGAAAAAGGAAAAAAGTCACACTAGAAATTGTCTCGGGGAAAGGGAAAGGAAATATAGTTAGAAGTATGTGGACAAACTATAATCCCAAAATTATAAATAGCACTCTACCAAATAGAGTTGAAGAATGTCAGCATACAAAAAATATATGAATGTTATAACAGACTGAACAAGACTTTTCTACCAGGAACCATACATATGCTAGTGCTACAACACGAATAAGGAGCCTGCCTCAATCGGGTACGAGTCTGCTCAAAAAGCTGACTCGGGGACTCCAGAAGAGGTTGCAGTTATTGTGTCCGCATTCTACTGTTCTCAGCACTTCTCACTTGGACGAAATATGGATGAGCCTGAACCAAAAATTATTATGTGAATTTCAAGATCAGGGGAAACGGATAGCCCTGACATACTTCTATGCGTGCAGAACATAACATACCATTGCCTCTCTAGCAGTGAGCCTGTCCTGGTGGTCATATCGAAGAAGCTTATCAAGAAAATCAATGGCCTGCAGAGCAGTAAGCCAAAATAATCAGCACCAGCAAGAGGACAAGTACCAAGAACACAATAAGCATAGTTGATATCTCAAGCTCATCAACAAGACAACAGCATACCTCTGGAGAAACTAGACGCTGATTATCAGCATTAATAAATCGGGACCACGGCTTTCGGCTGTGCCTGAAGTAGTATTAAAAATTAGTTAGATACCATAAAAGCACATGCACCAGAAAACTGCTTCCATGCATTTATTCAATCAACAAGAGGCAAACATTTGGGGAAAATAAGGGAATGGGAGGGAATATACTCTTTCAAATAATGCTGAAATTACCACTATTCTAAATCAAGTGGCAGTTTTTAGCATTAAAAGAACGTGGAAATATGAAAATGGACATAAGTATACCTTCCCACAAGAGCATCAAGCTGAGGATCAAGCTCTAAATGATATTTGTTCAAATATGCATTTAACTCATCTGTTCCAAGTACCTGGAGAAAAAATAATGAAAAAAAAAGTGTTTAATGTTTTCTGTTATTCTTAAACCTTGGTATTTCTCATAAATCCAATTGTTCTGCATAGGGGTGCAACAGAGTTGAGCTGAACCAGGCTTTGCTAGGCTCAGACTTGGCTGGGTGTCTTTTTAATCAAGCTTGAGCTCCATGCAAGTCTAAAAAATACAGGCAGAGCTGAGCTGCGAGCTCAAGCAGCTTGGCTCATTTGCATCCCCCGTGCCCCTACTTCTTTGCAACCATAGCATAGGCTCAAATAAGCAAAGACACAAACAAGCTAGGCTAAGTGCATCCAATGTTCTGCATTCTGAACAAAAAAGCATCTTTGCTCTTTTAAGTTTTCATCAGTTGCTGGATTTAAGTGCATTCTGGATTCTGATTTGTCATCCTGAAACTAGATGAAAATAAACTGAGCCTATGATCCACGTACAGAAAAGATGTATAAAGACTAATCTGTAAGACCTATATTACAATTCTCACAAGATCAAATTCTTGCATTTTAGGTTACAATATTAGAACCTTAAAAAACTTATACCAAAAGTTAATAAAACATTTTCCTTTCTGCAAATCAAGAATGAATTCGCATTTTACTGTTTTGAGTCATGTCACAATACCAATTTCTTTCAACTTCCAGAGCAGCAAACTTGGAGGGCACAATACTAACATGAATGTTTTGAGGCATATGTGTTACAAATGAAAACAAGTAAAAAACCTAGCAAGGAAGCAAACTGCTCCTTGCTCCATGTAACACGTGGGACAAAATGACAAAAAAAAATTGAAGGAAGAAAATGGCATGTAGATTAATAACAATGATAAGAACACTGCAAGATCATTAAGTTGGACAACAAAATTAAAAACTACCTTGGCAATTTTAACAAGTTGGTCATGATTATCATGACCATAGAAGAATGGCTCTTTGCGAAAAATCTGCAGGGGAAAACAAAGAAGGAAAAATGTTATAGTGCCACATAATAAGCAAAGTTGTTCCACTATAAGTACACTTCCTAGTGGCTTAGAATACACCATAAACAATAAGCAACCATAATGCTTACACCTTACCATTCCAGCAAACATACACCCCAGGCTCCACATGTCTAATGAATAGTCATAGTCTTGCAAATCAACAAGGAGTTCAGGTCCCTTAAAGTACCTAAAATTACCAATGAAAAAGTATTTTGAATTCTTGAAAAATTTAATGTCACAAGTCAATGATAATCTGACATCATTACTACCTAAGTCAATTTTTGTTCTTGGTGGCAAAGCAGGTGAATACCAGCTTTGACAGAAATTTAAAAATTCTGACAACACATTTTTTTTATCAGAATTCTTTCAAACAATAAACAAATCTACACTTTGTGTATTTCCTTAAACAGGACAAGATTCACGCATTCTTAATGATAAAATTGCCCGAAGCTTTTCTGAAAAATCCACTTCACATCTTCATGGAGCCTTTTGTGGGATTCGTTAATTGATCATAATATGTTAAAGACCAACCATTGCAAAAACAAATAATTAAAACAAGCAATTAGGAATTTGAATTTCTCTCACATCACCTAATTCTGCAAGATAGATGAAATCATATTCAAAGGAAAATTCATTTTACACACAAGTCGTTAATAGATTGAAATAGAAAGAAAATGGGTTGATTGAAAAGTTCATGTAATTCATAAGTACCTCGAGGCTACTCGAACATTGTATTCTTTGCTAGGATGGTAGAATTCAGCAAGACCCCAATCAATCAAGCGAAGCTTCCGCAGTTCATGGTCGATCATAACATTATGAGGCTTGACATCCCTATGCATTATACCTTGAGAATGGCAATAATCCAGTGCCTGAAATTACAGAAGTAACATGATTGATCATGTGATAGATTATACAGTGGACTTTGACGTATACAGTGGACTTTGAAGTTTAGCCCCCTGCATGCAATGACTAGCATACCCTTTGTAATCTATGAAATGGCATGGGCTCCTTTAACATGCTACTTTATGCCATTAGAAAAGACGATAATGAATTCCTACAACTTCAAGAAAACCGATATTCAATTGAAAGAAAATACAAGCATGACCAATAAAGGAAAAAATGAAGAGCAACACTTGGTAAGGATTAGACACAATTACCTTAAGAAGCTCATATATATAGTAGCGGATGTCATAATCTGTCAGCGTAGGGTAAAGAACTTTAAAGTCAGTGCTGTTGACATATTCAAAAATCAAGCTAGGAGTTTTTGAGTGATGATCTCTGACAACATCAAGCAGCTTTACAATATTTGGGCCTCCACAAAGATTTTGTAGTATTTTTATCTCCCGCTTTATCTGCAAGGATTCCAAGGTAATTGATAAACACTTCAATATAGAAATAAAGAGGTAGGGAAAGAGTGATAAAGGAATACATTAACCCCTAAACCTTTAAAGATTTACAACACAAACTGTTACAAACAGGCAACTATGAAACATGAAGTTTTAATCCGTTAGTCGGTCACGCCAATACGTCTGCTAACAAATTGGGTGAGAACTATTGCCTAAACATATACTACTACACGACGTAAGTCCATTACACGTTTAGCTAAAAAATGGACCAAGCAAAGCTGCTTGATGCAAGAGGATATAAACAATAAACACAGCTGAGTATAATAGCAATTAAATATCAGTTAGGGGATGAATTAAAGCATTGAAAAAATTGTAGTAATTGCCTGGCTCCAAACACATTAGATGCAGAAAAGGAGAGCTTGGAAGAGATTACCTTCTTTTTCTTGACAGGTTTAAGGATTTTGATGATGCATTTTTCATTGTTGATTACGCTTATACCTTCAAAAACCTCACTGTATTTTCCCCTCCCAACTTTTCGAACAACCTCATAGTGATCTTGATCACTGAACAACACACACCCCCCCCCCCGCCCCCCCCAAAAAAAAATAACAGCAAAACATAAAAGATTGTTCATTTAACAACTCAAAACTGTAAAATATCAATCTTTCTAACAATCACCCCAAAGAAACCGGAAACTAGAATACAGTAATATATAAGGAAGCAAAATTAGGGTTCTGGCTTATCTTACCCCCATTGAACAGTGAGAGATTCATAATCCCAGTAATCTCTGGGACGATGAACATTGACGTTAGCGTACACTCGAGCCCTCGACATGTCGTATCTGGTCTTTTATCCAAATTGATCGACAAACAAACGTTGTTTATGCTTTGTTGTTGTCCGATGATAATAGTTTTAGACAAGACTAGGAACTGGAAAATTTTTTTTTTTTGCTCTTACCGCTTGTTTTCCTTTTTGGGTTACATTCCACGTAGTTAATTTAGGTAAAAGAAATTCTGATCTCATGCAATTTTTTCTCATTTATTATCATTTATGAATAAAAAGTTAATTAGTTTCGTATCAAGCATAATTTTGAGATTACTGTATCAAATTTCTACTAATTTAAAATAACAATAAGAATTATAGTATAAATCTATTTACTTTCATATCAAATCTTTACGTGTAGAATAAACTTTAGACAAAGGCAATAACCTCTTTCAATGTTGGTACAAAATCAGAAAAAAAAAAGTTATTAAGAGTAGAGCATTAAAATTAATAAGAAAACAGTGTTTAGTTTGCTAGAAATAAAGATTAATGAAAGACAAGTATATTTGTTACAACTTTTAATTATAATAATTACAAAAGAATAAACATGAAATGATCTAGGTGGTCCTTATGTTGGTGTTCTGAAGCCTGGATAATGCAGTAAAGATCTGGTTGATACAGCACCTAAACCTTGAAATACCACTTATCCAGCTGTTTTATCAAACTCTCTGCCATTAAGCTAAAGGATAAATCGGCCAAGGCATCTCAAATTCCATTATCTGTAATCAGATCCCTGCTAGAAAACATTCAGACACCATGGCATAAAGGTACAAGATAATCACTCAGCCGCAGCCTCGGAGCGGATTTTTTCATACAAGCGATAAATAAGTGTAGACTTAGACATTTGGGGCTCTCTTTCCAGAACTGCAATCACATCCTTAACAGAAATAGTACGAGCCACTCTAGTTTGCGGTGTGACAACTTGGTTCCTGCCAAATTTCCTACTAGCCCCTGTTGAAAGAAAGTAGAGTGAGAAAGGAAGCAAATAGAGTGGATGAGTCAGGAACCACCCTCCCCCGGTTGCAAGGTAAGGAGAATTTTGGGGGAGTGTCCTGATAACAACTTGGTAACAGAAGAAAATCTGCAGAAGTAATTGGAACAGGCGGTGCAGACTGATTTATATTGGAAAAGAAACAAACTCTGATCTCTTAGGGCAAGAATATGATAGTCATAGTATATTGATTATTTGGGTTTTATCAATTCATTAATACTTTACAAACCAAAAATATAACTTTCTGATGTTTCAGAAATTTCACATATGTACATTTGCCTTACACAGTCATTCAAATGCTCCAAAATGAATTTGACACAGATAATTTATTTGTTCAAATAAGCAATCAAATTTCCTAATCTCATACATGTACATATGCAAGTGATTGCAATCAGGTTTAATACCATACATTGTTTCTATGGTTCGATAAATGCATTAGTTTCATGTAAAATACATAATCATGGTAACTACCAATCTATATGATTAAACATGATAGGAACCAATTCCAAATTGCTCAGTTGTACACCAGCATTCATGACAGTGCCATCTAATGTAACAGTATGCATGATAAACCTCACAACCATATTAACCAGCTAAATGCATCCTAATTAAAACTGACGAGATCTAGCCAGGAACCAAGCTTACCAGATGCAATAGGACTGAGCGGGCCCCTCTTTTCTGATTCTTGATTGTCCTTTGTATTTTTTACAGATGCAGATACAGGCCTGTGGTTCACATCTTTACCGGCTTGAGAACCAGATGCTGCATCCATTCCCCCCTCACGTTTCTGGCGGGCTTGCTCAGCCATAAGTTGCCATTTTGACAGCATGTCATCCCCTCCAACAGCAGCCCGTGCAGCAACGTTTGCAGCAGTGGTCCTCATCTTGTCATCCTCCTCCTTGTTTGCCTGGACATTACCAGTAAGAGAAACTTCCTTTATTTGGATAATTAAGGAACTTATAATGCTTAGAAAAATTACTCTTTGCCAATACCTTTACTGATTTTACTCTACTGTCATCTTTCTCCTTGTCACCATCAACCGCAGTCTCAGCCTCAGGCTGCATCCACAGATATTTAATATATAGAATGTAAAGAAAAAATTATATTTTAACACCCAATCTTATATCTGTCGGTGCATCCATGTACATTGTTAATTCCTCCCTACATTTTCTTAATGCATTATAGACAATCATATCATCAAATACAAACAATACCCACTTCATTAAGTTTCCTGAGCTTCTCTGCTTCAGCCTGCTTTTTCTCCCATTCTTCCCTAGCCTTCCGATTCATCATCATAATTTGTTGCCGAACATCTGAGGTGATGAGTGTCTGGTGCCTAGGCTTCTCAACATCAACCCGCTATAAGAGATTCATCCCAAATCAGAAAGATACAAGAGAAAATTCATGTTAACTGAGAGTAATTGAGGCTAACCTGTTTCGACAGTCTGATTAAATTGCATATGAGTCCACGCATTCTTTCCTCCACACACTAGAGATTAAGATACATAAGGTAAGGAAATGTATGAACTCATTATAAACAAAAGGTCCAAGAAGCTAGCATCTTACCAGGGACAAGCATCGCTCAACATCATTGCTTATATTCTTCAAACCACTTTTGGCCACTGCAAGAAGAACAGAAAACCAGACATAGATCTGTGAGAAAGATATCGCTTATATTGGAAAACAGAATGTACATGTATGAAATTAAAGAACATTAGACCAGGGAGGTATAAAGAGTATTAACTAATTTCAGCCAATTTCTTTTGCAATGGAGTTTTTTGCAAAATCAGTCTTTCTTCTTCCTCTTGCACAACCCTTCTAGATGCTTCTGAAACTCGACTGTCATCTTTGGGGCCAGAAAATAGTTGCTCCTCCTCTTCCTATATGATAGCAGAATGCAAAAGGATGTGACTTCTCTTTTTAGGCATATATTTCTTTACATAACTACATAATAATAATAATTTAAATATAGGCAGAAATGACCATAAAGTATCATACCCTGAGATTGACTCCACTGACAGCAGTGACATCATTCAGTTGTTCAATGCTCTGATCCAAAAAGGCTCCAGCTACTTTTTGCTTCTTACTGTAGCAAATCCCATTGAATATAGGTGAAAAATGATAAAATAAAAGGTTAATGTCAAGAAGGAATCAAATAATTCATAATTGATCCTTGGTAATCATTTCAAGCTATTATGCAACAGAGAGGTTGATTTAACCTTGATGGTGGTGGTGATGAGCCAATACTTTCAAGTGGTTTCTTCTGGCCAACAGAAGGCTTTTTTTGAGGTGTTCTTGTGTTGGCTCCAGCCAAAGAGGGCACAGATGGATTCCGAGAGCCCAACTGATAAACATAGAAAGAACATGGAAATTTGTCAGAAGATAGCAAGAAGTCATAAGCATGCACTTCACTGGGGAAAACACTAATTATATGAATTTCAAATATGTGAACTGAAGAGAAAGTAACTTCAAAATTCAAGAATAATACCATATATTACATTATGTGTTTCAACCACCTACAATGTAGGATACATTTTGGGAAGTTTACCTACTTAGAATGCAAAGAGGTGGGCCAGAAGTAGAAAACTACTGTTTGATTCAATTGAGTTTCAATGACAAAAAAGAAGCTGGATTTGAGGGGAACTAATACTGGAAATTTTGGGCTGTAGCAGAGCTAGAATAAAGGAAGTTATGAATACTATTCCCATTCTGTGAACAGTAATTCGCACTGTAGCCGTAAAAAAAAAGACTTGGAAAATGGAATTATAACGATTAAAAATAGGCAAATACTATCTTGTCCACCTTGGACTCAGATAGCTAAAATCATGAGACATAGGAATAAGACCTAACTTATACAAAAAAAAAAAAAGGTTTAAAAGCCCTAATAACTTAGCTGAGGCAAATATGAAGCAAAGGACAATAAATATAGCACATTACAGCAAGATAGAAAATTACCAGGATACCCAGAGACATCCAAAACTTAAATTGATAAATTACTATGCTAATAACCTAAAAGGACCAAAAGGACCTCAGTGTCCATGGACTGTGAAATTTGCTTCATCTTGAAATACTCTCTAATGAAAAATCGGAACAACTAAAGAGTTTAATCTAACTAGCCAGCAAGACAGCATGTGATCCATTAACATAGGAATAGGCCAAGGTTTCTTTCCCTAGGACAAAAAAATCACACCAAGACTATCAAGCAAACAACTCGGTCAATTCTAAAATCAAATTGGCTATAACCTAGCAATTCATGTGTATATATGTGCTTCATAACTAATAAAAGACAGCATCACTCCAAAGTTGGCGATTATTTAATGCATAAAAAAAGCATCACACCAAAGATAGCAAATATTTAATAAATTTCCCTGTTAAGACTTTTAAATGCAGTGGTTCTTCTAATATGCATCAGCAAACATTCAAAATCATCCATCAACAGATCACAATGTGAAAACATAAACTCAGACGAGATTACCGGGACATTAGAATCCACTTGTGTCGTGACGGAAGAAACTGAATTAGGAGGCACCATACTATTAGGCGTTGAGAAGCCAATTCTAGCAGACTGCTTCTCTAAAGGCTCATCCTTTGGAGTAGTTGTAACTGCATTTCCCTGTTCACCTAGTGCAGTAGGCAATCCCTGGGATGCAGACAAATGAGGTTTGTGCTGGTGCTCAGCACCTTGATCAACGGATTCCTGTTTCACATATGTCACTGATGACAAAGGGCCAGGATTCGTCTCCTTACTTGATGACGCTTGCCAAGGAACTGAACTATTTGAAAAGTGAGAAAGAGAACCACCCTGCAACCTATTTGGGTCATGACTAGAGTTTTGCCTCTCAAACTTAGGTCCACTCATCACGTTCATGGCCTGGGTTGGTCCTCCTACAGGATTTGATCCCATGCTTTGATGATGTGCAGTTTGCCTCATTTGTGAATCATGAGGTTGCGGCTTTAAAGAGGATCCCGAAGTATTAACACTAGGTCCAGAGTATGGGTGATAACTACTGCTCCCATGCATGGAAAAAGAAGCTTGAGGGAAATTCAAATGTTGTTGTTGCTGCTTGTTAAGTCCTTGTACTGGAATTGAAGAGCGGTCTCTTTCTTGATTCACGGTGGTTGTACTAAAGGAAGAAATTTGGCTTCCTAGCACTCCAAAGCGAGAATCTGATTGGCGGTCCATCTCTTGAGATTTTTGAGCATTGTTTTGAGAGGATGAATAACTTGAATTTGTCTGCATGGGGACTGCTGGAGAGGGAGCACGGGATGGAGTGGCAGGAGAATTAGGGCCTTTTTGCTGCAGCTGAGCTAACGAATGTGGACCAGTGAACTGTGCGGCACCAGCACCAACAGATGGCATCCTCGGAGTATTCTGCCGTGCTGCCGCCTGGGACTGTAATGGGAATTGGTTGGAACTCATCTGAAATTATGGATCTGAATTTTAGTTTGATCTCGAAATTAACATGCAATCAACTAAAGCATCAATTTTCTCTTTAATACATAAGACATTTGTGCTCACCTGCACTTGTAGCTTGTTAACTGCTAACCTCAGCATCTGGTCTCCTACAATATCTCTCATGTGTCGGACAAATCCATCTTTTGCAATTTCATTTTTCTGACAGTTAAAGACAATAGAAAAATCAGCAAATGAAGCAAAAGCAAAACAAGATCTGTCTAGTCGATTGCATCCATCACTAAATAAACAGGATAACTGTAGTAAAACAAGATCCATACAGTCTATTGCATACACAGAAACCCACCTTTAGTTTACCATACAAGGTATGAAGCTGCATGGCTCTGTCTTTATCAAGTTGGGGCAGTAAGGCAGGCAACAAAACAGCAAACGGAACCTGCTTTCCTCGATTCATAGGATTATTCGGCTGCTCTGTCCCACCAGCCTGCTGATTACTCATCTTCTGTAATTTCATATATTGTGATTCACTGTCTTGATTATTGGTTCTCTCTGGTTCACGTGCTGGGATAGGACTTTTTTCAGTAGTCTGAACCCCAGTCGATTGAGGAACTTGGGCAGAAACTTGTTCAGCTACTCCTTGCTGACGATCATCTTGGGGTTGTTTTTGTTGTAGTGGTAGACGATTAATCTCTTGGGGAACATCATTTGGCTGTCGTGCTTGTTGCTGATTCCCTGCAACAACAGCTCCCTGTTGCTTTTGCTCCATTTCAGAAGAAGGCTGCAGTTGTTGCTGTGCACTTTGAAGGGCTTGTTGATTTTGAAAGTTGGTGTTTCCATCTTGCCCCTTGGTCGGCCATTGTGCAACTGACTGACTGGAAGCTGGATTGCTTCCTTGAGACAAAACTGCTGTATTTAATCGTGGACACAACAATCATTCATGTATTTCCCAGAAGAAGCAATTCATAACAGTTGATATTAACATAAAAAAGAAAGCTAATGATACTAAATTATGAAATTTTACACTCTCAATGATCAAAGTTACTGAATTTCAATCTAAAGCTACTATTTTTGAAAGCAAATCTAGTTTCTTTGTCTTGTATATTGTAAATCAAATTCCAGCAGAACAAAAGTTGAAAACCAAAAAATTGATACCGGTATTTGAACCAGACGGCTGAGAAGTAGTGGAGGTATCGCCTTCGATATCTCGATTCAAGGCAGCCTGGAAGGCCTCCACGTCTGCTCCAGAATGCATAGACTCGTCCTGTTATTATTAAATTATTCCGAATTCTAGAGATATTGCAGAGAGAAGAAAAACCCAAAAATAATAAATAAACAGAAGAAAAACCTCGTCTTCTTCAAGGAGTTTTACTATGGAAGGGTCCATGACAAACTTTTTCCGCAATCGGCTGTCGCCTCTGTGCCTCAACGGCAGATAACTGGAATCCCTTCAGCTTACGAAATTACGAAATTTGCATAGAAATTGAAAACTAAAATAATAAAATAAAAGATATTAAGAAAAGAACTAGCAATTTGATTGGAAAATTTCACAAAGGAGAGAGAGTATTTTTGACAGCGGATCGGGAAAACAGTAACAGCGTTTAACGATGTGGTTCCTAGATTTTATTAGGCCTAGACTAATAAGCTAATTTGGACCAACCTTTGACCCGGTTAGTAATGGACCAAAGCCCATGTAAATATGAGCTAATAGGCCTACTATGTCTAGATTACAACACCAGAGCAAGTCGTCTCGTCAGTTGAAGCGCGTGTTCCAGAAATGGGCAGCAGCGGCAACACTTTAAAAAGCTTGGGCAGACGCTGCCTGCTTCGACTCTCCTCCGATTGCCATTCGCTCCTCCATGGGAAAAGCTTCGGCGAAGCTACTCTTACGAGCCAAAGACGGAGACTTTACCCCTTGTCTTCCCCTCGTAAGCTCGCAGGTTTCAAAGGTGCTCCTCCTCCGCGTTCCTTTTCAACGTCGTCATCGTCATCAAAGGTCGGGTTTTTGGGATGGTATTTAGCGAAGCTCGATTCCAAGCCTCTTATTACGAAAGCTGTCACAACTTCGATTATCTTTGCTGCTGCTGATTTCACATCCCAGGTAAATCCCTAGATTTTCGTTTTTCCTCAAACCAAATTTAACGTTTCAAAATTTCCAATTTTGCAAAAAAGGTCTGAAAATATTGATATAATTTCCAGGTTAGTGTAAGATTTTCCTTCAATATTACATATTTAGGAATTGTTATAACTAAAGTTTGATGTTAGAGGAAATGAGATCACTTCTTATATCCACAATGGCTCCAATTCTCTTGTATTCTTGAAGGATTTTGAAGCTGCAATCCGTTGGTTTTTGTTTCTGATTAAATTCTTAAGCTATTTGGTTGCTTTTGATGGAAATAGAACTCAGTTTTAAGGCAGTGATGACAGAGTGCACGAAAACATGTCTCGTGACCTGTTCTATTGAACTCTACGTAGGTATTTGCTTTATATTTGCATTTACACTTGCTATGCGTCTGAGCGAGAGAATGGCTTTGCGACAATGCAATCATTAGAGGGAAAGAATGGCTTTGCAACAATGCAATCATTGTTGTTTGTTGAATTATTGCTTCTCTGTAAAATTTTTCTTAAGCTAAGACCCAATTATCTATTACCGTATCCTTATTCTTGTGCATACAATTAACTTAAATTAACTTTTAAATTACTGTAAGCGAACCTGGTTATGAATATGATATTGGTTATTATATTTGTATTTCTATAATGCAATTGTTTTATCTGGTGATTAACCATAATTACATTTCCTTCTAACACGTCTATAATTCACATCTTTGTTAGATGATCACATCAGAATCTTCTGGTTATGACTCAATAAGGACATTACGAATGGCTGCTTATGGGTTGCTTCTCCTGGGGCCATCACAGCATCTTTGGTTTAACTTATTGTCAAAAGCTTTGCCCAAACGGGATATGCTGACAACCTTCAAGAAAATGTTTATGGGGCAGGCTGTCTACGGACCTGCGAGCACTACAGTTTTCTTCTCCTATAATGCAGCTCTACAAGGTAAGAGGTTCCGTTCCTTGTTTTAATAGAAAAAGAGAAACTTTGTATCAGTACAATGTTCCTTTCTATCAGACTATATTCTCAACATCTCTGCTTGGTTGGGGCCTATTATATTTCTTGTGGAATTCAGCAGGCCACATATCAACCATCATTATTTCATGGGTTCTCTTCAGCTGAACCCCTGAGACCTCTTCTTGGATGAAATGGTGTCATTCAAGCCTTGTATGCATTGTTAGGTCTCCATTTGTTGCATGTATCAATCGCTGCTTTTTTGGCTACTGGTCTGCTCTGTGAGGTGGCCTGGCATTGAAACCCTTCATTTGATTACTTTTCTAATGGGATATTGTTCTTGTTTTAGTTTTCTTATTGGCTAGCGTCAGCAGTTGAATCAAGCCTCTTAAAATGCAGCATGATAGTTTAGTTCTACCACATGGCTTTTCTCCCAAGTCGAGGGCCTGTTCCGATCTTGTACTTATTGTGTATGACTAAGTTTCAGGTTTTTTTCCGTTGGTGTTCTGGTTACTGCAAAGCATTGCTCTCTGACTTGTTATTGTGCTACCAAACTCAGGTGAAAGTGGTGAAGAGATTGTGGCTAGATTGAAGCGTGACCTCCTCCCAACATTGATAAACGGTGCTATGTTCTGGCCGCTCTGTGATTTTGTTACATACAAATTTGTACCTGTTCATCTCCAGGTATTTTTGGCTTACTTCCTTTTTTTGAATCCTCATTTTGAACAGGCGAGAATGTTATTGAAATTATTTAATTTAGTCAGATCCAATTGCTATGACAAACACCTTGATAAAATCTTTTGGCAGCCTTTAATGAACAGTACATGTGCCTACATATGGACAATTTATTTGACATACATGGCAAGCTTAAAGAAAGTGAGCATCAATTAGTGAGGGTTTTGTCTTGGAGTCTTGAGGTAAAATATTCTTGAGTTGCAGTTAACCATACCTTCAGTTATGCGGAATTAGATTGGTAAGGTTGACTTCGCTGTTTAAGGATTCTGATTCGCGATTATCGTTATTCTTTTTTTGAGCCACAAAATAGGGTTTTTTGGGCTTAGTTAGTTATTACTGTTTTCTATTACCAAGGAACTATAATTTAGTAATTTCATTTCTGATATTTTGCTGAGTAGATGGAATATGGAGCAAAGAGATATAATGTTGATCTCGACCCTACCATGGATCTGATTTCGGTTGATTGTCTCGTTGGTTAGTCCATTTGTACCATTTTTCCTCTGGGTTGGAGGAACGCACAGTGCTAATCAAACCCGTCAAAAGCATGCTTTTTAAACGTCAAATCATAATTGAGGAGATCTGAAAAGATTTCTGAATAAAACCAATCAATCCATTAACCGAAAAGAAAATGATATTTTGAACGTGATTCTGTTGAGAAAGAGACTGAATTAGCATTTTCATTTATTATTCCGGTGAAAATAGGTACAACCATCCGACTCAGCCATAAACATTAAAGAAATGAATGAATTTCATTTTTGTCAGTTCATCATATTGCTGACAATATGTTTCATGCCACCGAATGTGGGCCGACGAACCTGTCATTCAATTTTCACAATGATTTACCTATTCTAATCTTATTAAAAAAAATATATTACCCCCATTAATGTAAATTTCATTCATGTCTAAGTATAAGGGAGTACGAACAAAGAAAAAGAAACGGTTTGAAAAGGCAAAGCTTAGATTAAAGAAATGCTGCCAGGTACGAGCAGATATTTTTCTTCTCTCAACTCCCGGCCCCGGCGAAACGTAGACTTTCCATTAAACACCACCACGTGTTCCCATGGCGCGACAAAGCCACTGTTAGAAGGACACGTAACTCACTCTTCGATCACATGCACCCACGGACGTGGCCTGGCTTCCTTTACTTTACTCGTTTCTCCCCATCTTTGATTGTCGCGGTCTACATCACGCTACTATTTGTTTCGAGGCCGACTCAGAAAAATTAAACCACGCGCCAGGGAGAAGCGATAGCAGAAAAAAATACCTTCCCCGCTAAAACCCTGGAGCGTCCCCTAACATAATATCCTCACGTGGCTGTACGATACGAGACGCAAGTAACCAATTGCAAACGCCCACGTGGGTGCGAGAAAGCAACACCGATTCAGGTAGTAACCAGATTTGTCGTCGCGTTCGAGCGCGAAAGAGGCATTGGATCCAAACACGGGGCCCAACGGGCAGAAATGGACACGAGGCAGCCTCACAAAGATGATGGCGTCATCTTGGCTACGTTGTTTTTAGCGGAGAGAGCCATTAAAATTCAGAACGCGAAGAGCAAAGCATGCTTAGGGGAGAGGGGTAAAAAGAAAGAAAGACAGGGAAGGAAAGAGAAAGAGAGAGGTATAGCAAAGTTGGTTACTCTTCCGCTTTAAACATTCTCGTTTCTAATTCGATTAGATTTTTTGTCGGATTCTTATTTCTTTCTTCTTTTGATTTTTTTGGTGAATTTAGTTGCAGGTAATTGAAAAATCTCCTCCTCCTTTTCTTGCTTTTTCGTTTCTCGGAGGACTCTCTCTCCTCTCGCTGGACGAGAAGAAGAATTTCCGTTGGGAAAAATTCGTTGGTAGAAATGCATTTCTTTGATAGAATGACGATTCCAATGCGCAGAGTTTGGACCGGTGTCGCCACTCGCCTCGGCGTTCGTAAAAGCGGTTAGTCTCAGTTCTCGACCGTCTGATTTGTTCGCCGCCAATTTCATGATGTCCGTTTCATTTTGAGATCAAGAAAGTGTTTTTTTTTTTAAAAACAAAAAGACATTATTTTGTCCTTCGTGAGAAGTTTCATATTTTTTTCCGATTGAAATGTTAATGAACTGCACGATCGAAGGATTCTCGTCCACATTCTCAAGATTTCGTTATCGGATCATTTTGGTGAAGATGTTGTGTTTAAATTAATTAATTTTTTTTATCCATGTTCATTTTTTGAATAAGTTGATTATAGCGTAATTGGATTTTAAAGAATAATTAGGGAATATTATGTGCTTCACTTGGAAGCAATGATTGAAGCTGTCGGTGGCAATCTTGAATTACGGCTTTTACAGGAAAAAGAAAAGTACTTATAAAGAAAGATTCCCATGTCTTTGTTAATATGGGATCAGCTCCTTTTACTTGATGAACTTATTTCAAATCCCTTTTTTCCTTTCTTTTTAAATTTTTTAGTTGTGTTGATTTATCTGCTAAAAACTAAAGTAACAATGAGCAACTAAACAGGGGTAATGGCATTGTTTTGGGGTTGTGCTGTGGAAGAAAGGGACTGTTGGGTGTGTGTCTTTTCACTTGCACCACACACTCGATCGTCGAAACGCGCTCTGAGAAATACAATACAACTAAGTGCGGAAACTAGTCACACTGAATAATGTTGTTCGGGAAATACAATGCGAAATAGTGAACACAAAGTGGGCCCGCACAAATCCCGAAATATCGGCTCTGACAGGAATGCGCCCGCCACCACCCGTTTGTGCTCCAGATGCGTGCTCGATGCTCCTGTGATCGCGTACGTGCAATCCGCGATCACTTCCGACTTCCTGACGGCCGAAATGCGCCTCGGAAGTCCGCTGTCCCGTATCTCCAAAACCGTGCGTCGGATGACGAAACCGACGTCGCCGCCGGAACCGCAGCGCGTCAAAACCCCGGGGTAGCATCCCCGTCGAAATCCGGGTCGGTCGCCGGAGGTTGCCGGAATCCGGTCACCGGTCGTCTTCTCCGGAAACTGGTTTTCGGTCAAATTCGACCAAAACCAACGCGACCAGAACTGATGCGTTAGCCCCCTCCTTGCGGTGCTCCCGCGCCAACCGTCGCTTGAATACCTCCCGGATCGGTGAAACCGAGCTCTCCAAGTTTCGGTCGCCGGAATCCCGCCGTCCGGCAACACCACTGCCCAAGACCGAGCTCTCCAAGCTCGCCTCAACACGCCGTGCAAGGATCCGCGGCTGTGAGAATCACCTCCCTCACCGAGAGAGATCCGAGCCCTCCAAAGGTAGCCCTCTCCTCTCTCTCTCTCTTTGTTTCGATTGCACCCGAGAGCTCCACAACAAGCGAAGCACGGACCCCTCACCATTTGACTTTGGTGAGGGGTCCGTGCGTCGCTTGTTGTGGAGCTCTCGGTGCAAATCGAAACAAAGAGAGAGAGAGAGGAGAGGGCTACCTTTGGAGGGCTCGGATCTCTCTCCGGTGAGGGAGGTGATTCTCACAGCCTGCGGATCCTGCACGGCGTGTTGAGGCGAGCTTGGAGAGCCCGGTCTTGGGCAGTGGTGTTGCCGGACGGTGGGATTCCGGCGACCGAAACTTGGAGGCTCGGTTTCACGATCCGGGAGGTATTTCAAGCGACGGTTGGCGCGAGAGCACCGCAAGGAGGAGGCTAACGCATCAGTTCTGGTCGCGTTGGTTTTGGTCGAATTTGACCGAAAACCGTTTCCGAGAAGACGACCGGTGACCGGATTCCGGCAACCTCCGGCGACCGACCCGGATTTCGACGGGGATGCTACCCCGGGGGTTTTGACGCGCTGCGGTTCCAACGGCGACGTCGGTTTCGTCATCCGACGCACGGTTTTGGAGATACGGGACAGCGGACTTTCGAGGCGCATTTCGGGCCGTCAGGAAGTCGGAAGTGATCGCGGATTGCACGTACGCGATCACAGGAGCATCGAGCACGCATCTGGAGCACGACGGGTGGTGGCGGGCGCATTCCTGTCAGAGCCGATATTTCGGGATTTGTGCGGGCCCACTTTGTGTTACTATTTCGCATTGTATTTCCCGAACAACATTTATTCAGTGTGACTAGTTTCCGCACTTGTTGCATTGTATTTCTCAGAGCGGTTTTCGACGGTCGAGTGTGTGGTGCAAGTGAAAAGACACACACCCAACAGGGACTGGCTTAGCTCTATCTCCTCAGCTTTGATACAGTAATTGAAGGCTAGCTTGATACTTGATTGAGAACCATTTAAAAGACATTGAATTTGGGATTTTAGATGGTTATTTAAACATGTTCAAGTGGATGGGATTGTTTGAAATTACAGAGAATTCCTTCACTGATTATTTACTCCTTGTGCTTCTGGGAACCAACAGGGCTATTGAAGCTGCGAAAGGATGTAAGATCTTGTGAGTATGAAGATGTGCATGTGATGTGGGAGATGCTGAGGAGAAACGAAACAGAAGTTGGTCGATCCCCAAGAAGATGCAAAAAGAGACCACTGTTGAATTGCTTTGAATGGGCTAGGCGAGCTCCTTTTCTTTGCCGCAGCTTCTGAACGTGTGCTGTTTACCCAGGTTTCAGTTTGCATCCCTATCCGTTGGATTAGAAAGGCTTGATAGGGATATCGGTCCAACCACAATAAAGAAGAAAAGAGAAAAACGAGGGATTGGTTTGTGAGATTGCCCTTTTTCCTTTTCATGTCAGCTATCTGTAGATATCAGCTGCCTGCCAAGTGAATGTACCATCACTTCCTATCTCCATGCTCTATCTAATATACTATGTAATAAGCTAAATATGTGGTATATGTGTTTTTGGCGTCTATAAAAACATGCTGCCATGTTTGTGCTATCATATATATATATATATATATATACTCTAGCTTATCTATGACCTTTTGAATGATATCCTAGCCATTTTCTGAAGCAACTTTCGCAGGCAATATGCGAAAAACATGGTGTTAAGATCTAAAAATTTGATGGTAAGGGTGAAAGTGCTATGGCATTTGGTTCATATAGAATATTTCTGAAATGATTCTTCTAGCGATTGATCATATTATTCATATGGAAACATGAACGATATGCAGAGACCGACCGGGAGGCGGATATCCTTGCGGCTGATGTTATTTGATAATGGCCTGTGTGATGTGTGAAGGCTCCTCTAGCCTTGAGGTTTTACTTTAAAGTTTTAGAAGGATGGGTCGTTAATCATTTCCTTTTTTTGAAACTATATGAATGGTGAAAGGTCTAAATCATTTGATTTTGATCGGTGGCGGTGCATTTCGTCGTGGCTTATACAATTCATCCCTCATTTCGACGAAAGGCATTATGCAATCATTCATTTCGAATCATCAAAATTGCATTTGGTTTGGTTACATTTAGCGATGATCTCAAAGCTAGAGGTCTCCAAACCACAAAGGTTGTGATGTGAAAGCCTTTAATTCTTCCTTCCTTTCTTTTTTCCCCTGTTCATTTCCATTTCAAATCAGAGAAACCCTGAATTCAAGCACAATTATCAATAACAATTTTACCCTTTTTTCCCATTGTTAATTCAACGCTCATTCTGCTTTCCAGTTTCCACAGGCTGTTAACCCAAACAAACAAGAAGATAAAAACTAAATTGTTCAGAAAGAAAATGTCATTATGGGCTTAAACCGACTTCACTGGAACATGCGTTTTCTCAAGACACAGAACACGACAGATACACAACGTCGTCTTAGCGAGCCTGATTAAAGAGAGCTTAAGGCTTTTCTCTGACAAGCAAAAACAAGGCCAAATGTGTGGAAGTGTCATCCCAAGAACTACTTACTATATATTATTAAACCGTTTTCTTTCTTTCTATTCAAAAGAAGAAGGTAAGCTGGTTTTTAGTCTTGGGGTTTCTGCTTGTTTACGGTAACCTCATGCTTTGATCAGGAAGTACGGGTTGATGGGCTGCAGGCAGCGCTGCCGTAGAAATGCGAAGGAAACTGGGGTTTATTTAGGTAAAACTTGTTGTCTCTATATTCTTGTTTGTCTTAGCGGTTAGCACCTTGCCTGCCTGAGTAGGTTAGTTTCAAGCAGATACTACAATATAAACTGTCCAATGTGGCAATTTTGGCTCTTTTTCTTGTGTTCTTTACCTAGCGTTCAAGTTGTTCTTAGCTCATGTGCATCATCATTATTTAACTCGTATTGGAACTAATGCCTGCTTCTCTTTTTCATTTTCAGTACCATTATAGGACAGAGAGCATGCATCCTGCATATATTGGTGGAGATTCTGTCTCCTTTAATTTTTATGATAGTTCAAACAGATGTTAAAGCTGTGTTCAGTTTTGTTGAAGCAACTGGTAGACAACCAAATTCCTTATGTTTAAGTAATTCACTAATACTTTCAAGTCCATTCTAACGCTTCGGTAGCATTTAAGACCAAAATTTGAAGACCCCTCTCTAGTCCATTCTGTCAACTAACAACTCTTTGAATTTTTGAGACCTTTCTCTCTTCTAAATTCTACTTTGGAGCTTATCACTAATGCTTGCTAGTTTGTTTAGTTGCAGGCATCCATATTGAGCTTTATTCCTTGGCTGCTGCTTGATCCTGCGGCAAGTAACCAAGCTGGCAGTGTGGAGCTGTCAGTTTCAAGAAATTGCAACCCATGGTTACAGCTTACAAAAATACCTGGATTTTATGCACAGCTATCTAATTGGGCCACCAGTATTATTTTCAGTTATTGTATTTTTCAATTTTATTCAATTTAGTCTCTATACTCAAAATCGAAGTAATTTAATATCTTGATTTTAGGAATTATGTCAATTTAATTCTTTTTTCTAACGACATCTAATTTTACTGTTAAAATATGACGTTAGCTTTGACGTGTCACTTTTTGATGAGTGTCGTTGAGATGATGATGTGGCATGCCATATGGCATCAAATGATGACGTGACAATGCTATGAGGCAATATACGAGGATGTGAGAATGTTGGCATGGTACTGATATGTCAGTGCCACGTCGCAAATAAAAAATTTTAAAAAAAATTTTTGCCACGTCATAGAAATTAAAATAAATAAAAATATATAATACAGGGATTAAATTGAATAAAATTGAGATGTTAAGAGACAAAATTAAAAAATATTTTGAAAAATACAAATCTTTAAATAGATTATTGATATGGTTATTAATAAGTCAAATATTTAAATGTAAAATATTTATGGTGCTAAAAAATATATAAATATTTTCTTACTTGATTATTTGATTTTAGAATATGTAAA